TTTTCTTAAAATCCTTCCATTTAGATTTTAGAAAACCGATTTCCTTGTAAAAATCTTTTAGTCCCTCGGTTTGAGTCCAGACACCCCCGAGGGTGTGTCCGAATCCCTCAAACCAGGGGTCTGATACCAACTTATAATGACCCAATTTTCAAGTCCAAAAATTTCTTTTTAATTAACTGACTCATAAAAACATTCATAAGGGAATACTATGAAAACACATCATCTCATAAAACAATGTATCACGTCTGAAAACCCAAGTCATAAAATAATAACATATCAGAGTACAATCCCAGAAAACTCCATGCGGAAATCATGTGTGTGTGTGATGCGCTGCTACACTGCCGGCTCCTTCCCCTTAGACGAAGAGGTACCTGAAACCAAAACTAAAACTGTAAGCACAAAGCTTAGTGAGTTCCCCCATCATACCACATACCATACAATATCATCGGTATCTTTCAACCGGTAATCATCGTCGGTATCTTTCAACCGGTAATCATCATCGGTATCTTTCAACCGGTAACTGTCATCGGTATCTTTCAACCGGTAACTGTCATCGGTATCTTTCAACCGGTAACTGGGGACTATTCCACCCCCTACCACTAGTATACCACAACAAGATATAAACATACAGTCAGGCATATCCGGGTACTGACCTACCCTTCGGTCCTAAGGACCGCTGTCAGGGAAACTAATCCCTATTATACACGTAACATATCATATAGATAAAACTCATGCCCAAAGCACGTGACCAGACCAAGATAATTATCACAAAGACAATCATCTTCTAAATACCCCTCTTTGGTGGGCCGGCATTGTGGCCTTAGACCCACCCCTACTGGAAGGTAACTCATCTCGTACAAGTAGCTGCTAATAATCTGTGCGGGAAACCTCCGTCCGCTGCTGCTCCGGAAATCCTCCGGCTACAATCCCCACAAAACACTCAGTCAGAATCTGATATCTACTCTTAGGGTAAAATAACTATTTTACCCCCAACCAAGTCCAATTCAAAGTCAACTTCCAGTTGACCCGACTCGCCGAGTTGGGCCGTCAACTCGTCGAGTCCCTTCCCTTTGCTCGTCCTTATCCATGAATCGACTCGTCGAGTTTGGCAACGACTCGACGAGTTCCCCTTCTTTACGAACATCAATGGACCTTCATCCGACTCGTCGAGTCGGACGAACAAGTCGTCGAGTTCACCTTCAACTGATGAATAAGTCCTGACCTTGACTCGCCGAATTGTATGAACAACTCGTCGAGTTCATCTTCAAACATAAGACGATTGCCTTGGACTCGCCGAGTCTGTTCTAGCACTCGGCGAGTCCCATGAACTCCATGTACAAAACTAAGTCCAATGCGTTGGGTCACTCTTTCTGTCCTGCTACAACCCTTCTAACACCCAACTGAGTTCTTTGACCCTCAACAGATATGGGACTCAAAGCCTTGGACTCGTCGAGTCCCAAGAACGGACTCGCCGAGTCGATAACGTCCACACCCTAAATCCTCGATTTCTGATGTACAACACTTGACCAAATGATCGATCCAAGCCCCTAAGCTCTATCTAGCACGTAAAGTTACGAACTTTACGTGCATGCATGGGACTTTTGAGCCAAAAAGGCTCTAAAATGGCTCTTTTGTTGCATGGGGCCTTCCTTGGGTGCAAAAGCAACCCAAATCTGCCTTGTGACTCTCCCCAAGTGCTAGATCCGAAGTCTTGATCCCCAACCATGTTTGCAAATCATGGTTGGTCACCTCATATGGCTTAAAAGCCCTAAATCCTCCCCAAAAAGGGATCTAACAAACAAGTAAGCAAGGTACATACTTTATACCTTTCAAAGACTGCAAATGATGAACCAAACTCGAATCCTTCAGTTTCCTCTTGATCCTTATATGCTCTTCCTTCTTCCTTGTGAACAAAACCACCAAAAATCACTCAAAAGCCTTAGATCTTGCACCAAAACACTTAGGGTTTGCTATGGAGGGTTTCTGGGAGCATAAAGGGGCGATGGAGGCTGTATAAGGTTGTTTAAATAGGGTGAAAACCCTCATATTAGGGTTTTGTTTAGTGAGAGCCTACTCGTCGAGTCCGGGACCCGACTCGACGAGTCCATCACTTAAATCCCACGTCTCACCCCGCTTCTACTCGGCGAGTTGGGCCTTCAACTCGCCGAGTCCCAGGCCAAAAATGCAAAATCACTTAAATAAAATACATACCAGGAACCAGGTGCTACACGTTATTTCGAGTTTTTAGTTGTATACTGCTATACTGAAACTAAGAAAAATCATAACTTCCTCATACGAAGTCAGATTTTGACGTTCTTTTTATGAAAGTTCTCAGTTTAACATAATCTACAACTTTCATTTAGATTGTTATGGCTAAAAAGCCTTTTATTGAAAATTCAGTTTTTACACTGAACAGTGTTTTGCCGGTTTTGTCGCGGATCTTTGATTGGTCATAACTTATTCGTTATAACTCGGATTTTAGTGTTCTTTGTTTTTTTCTGGAAACCTTGTTACAATCTCTACCACTTGGTTCATCCCAATCGAGATTGTTTAATACTTTATTTTTGAGGGTCAATTATGTAAATATACACAGTATGCTAAAATTTCTCTTTATTTTTTTAAAAAGAACTACAAATTGACATACATTATTACATAGGTTTGAAATAATGGTTTGTTACACAATCCCACGTGATGTTTGCGTCGGCCCCACCGCTAGACAAATATCACTCCAGTCCACCCACCGTTCGAACCATGACTCGAATGATCTCCTAGAAAAATCATCTGATGCCGCTTTGGCTTAAGCTCGTCTCCTGTAGGCATCGTCAAGCCTCGGGTCCCTGCAATAATCTGGTTTGGGTATATTCCTATGAGTAGGTTACTACCCTTCGCCCCTCTAGTGTATTCCCCTTTTTAAATTAATATTAATTAATCAATTAAGGAGTTACACTTTTACCCTCTTCAAGTAATCATGTAAGAATTATGAATTTTATTTTATTAACATATTACCTATTTAAGGGTTCATTTTCATGCAAACATGTAATTTTATTTAATTATTACATTTTACATCACACACCACTTTCATTCACAACACTTCTATAACGGTTCACTAGCATGCTTGTCCTAATTTAAGTTAGGAAAATATTTTCAAACACATCTTGACGTGTTCACATCACATAATATCCAAGTATAACAATTAATCTAACATGGCATTATCACACATCTCACATCAAACATGTAAGAAACTAGCATGCAATAATCATAGATTCTTTTACACATAAAACAATACAACATTCATTGCACATTACTTAATACTAAATGGGGCACATACATCCTAGGTAACTAGGTTCATCCCATTCCATCTAAGATATGAGATTCTCCTCACAATGTACTTTTAAAACCACAAAATTAACTCACATTTGCCAAAGATGTGACCTCCTCACACTTCAAATCTTCTAAAAGTTAAAGTATCACCTTTACCCCTATTACAATACAAATAAAAGGTTATTGGAGCTCTACAATTCCAAATATGACAATTCCATAACCTAAACATATAAATTAATTATCAAACAAAGTTCTCAGTTTTGGACCCAAAACAACCATCTATTTAGAGCTGTTTTAGCACCCTTGGGACCTGTAAAAATTTTATTTTTATTTCATATTCCAGATGTTAAGAATTGTAGATTTTCATAAAGTACTTTTAAAGGTCCAAATTTTATAAAATTTTCTATGATTTTTACAAAACTGCCTATCAGTGCAGTTATATTTTGACTAGTTGGTGAAAAAGGCAATTTTCACCTACGTTGGAGGCAAAAAAGGTCCTGGAAAAATTCACGAAAAAATCAGACTCAAAATGAAAGCTTTGAGAATTTACAGATCATTAATCCAACTCCTGTTGATTTTTCTATAATTTTTCCAATCCAGGGGCAGATTTGTCGATTTCTTGCAATTTCCAGCTTTGGGTTTTGTAAAAACTTTTTGACGACTTAAACCATTAAGTCATCACCCAAATCGACCAAATAGCTGAAAAATAAGTCTAAATCAGTAGAAAGATATATCATGGAAGTAAAAAGATAGTTTCACCCTCCAACCATGGTCCAAAGACATTGTCTTTAAAGGAAAGACAACATATGTTGTTAAAAAGAGAAATACCAACTTGGGTTTGAATTACTCCTACCATTTATCCATGTTTGAATAACATTGACAACTATTTTTAGGACCTTAAGGAGATTCCAACACATAGCCATTCACCAAAAATTCCCTCATGAATGTATTATAACAATAGCATGACTTTTGACAATCAACAAAGGAGTAATTCAGGGATATATCAAAATCATTCTTGAGTGTGTTCATAACATGATTTGGGCAACAATGAATCATCAAAACTCACCCAATTAGAATGGAATTAGCCATAAGGACATTGAAGAATTACAAGGAAGAAGAATGAATGATCCATAGCATCAAAAATAGAGAATTTGACAATGATATTAACCAATTCTCATCAATTGGTTAATAAATTACACAAAAAGGAAATTGAAGGCTTACCCAGGATGATTCCTAGACCCCGAATTGACCCAAATTTGCAGATCCAATTCTTCCCTCTAGGACCGATCAAACAAGGTTTCCCTTCCCCCCTCTCTTCTCAGCTCGCCGCTACCCTTCTTTGTCCTTAATCATGTTTGTTTTTTTCTTGATCTTCAATCGACGATGCACATGAGGCAGTAGGAGGCCTCGATCGTTTTTTTCTAATATACTGGACACGAGGACAAGAAAAACGGATATAGGGAGGAGGATCGATCCTCCTCCTTGGGGTTATACCACAAATTTACTTATTGGACCCTCATAAGTCAAATTTTAAATCCTTCCCATCCTAACCCTAGAATCTTGACAAATTTAGTTTTACTAAATAACATCTTGACCCCTCTATTCATGTTAAATCATTTCTTTTTTAATTATCTTAAGAACCCAAATAATTAAACATTTAGGTATAAATTAACATCTTTTTATTTATTTATATTGTTTTCTTTATTGAATTTAATCATAAAAGAAACAAATTCGCTAAGGAAAATTAGTATTCGACTAACAAAAGCTAACCTTGATGACGGATTAGAATTTGGGTCGTTACAAAGAGTATCCACATGTTTGTTATGCGTTTGTTGGCTCTCTCGAAAGGAATATAAGTCTTCTCTCAACTCTACCATCTCTGTATTCATTTCACAAGCACTATCATAAAGATCAGAATAGTCACGATGGAGGCGTTGATAATTGGTGTGCAAGCACTGAAATTCCTGCATGTACATTTCATGGTGAGGATGCATGGCATGCTCTTGTTGCACTGGCGCAACACCATCAGGAATAGAAGCATCGGGAATAGGATCATATGTATCAGGCTCAAGATTATCTCTAGGCATAACGACACCTAAATTGGAGTTAAGTCACCATCTCATGTCATAGGGTTGGTAAGTGAGGGTTAGAAGTTGGCGATTTTGACTATCAACGCGAATATAGTCTTCACCGTCAACTTGCCAATAAACATCATGCTCATCCACCCGCAACAGTTGCATATTGTGGAACACAATGGTGGTTAGGCGGCGTTCACCTGGAATAATGAAACGCCTGGTTTCTGGTACACATTTATTTATAAATTATTCATTTTTATAAAGTTACTCGACGAGTTGGAAGCCCCAGACTCGTCGAGTAGAATTGACTTTGGACGCGGGATTTCAGCGACCTACTCGACGAGTCAAGAGCCCTCGACTCGGCGAGTAGGTCTGTCAGAATGAAACCCTAATTTTGGGGGTTTGCACCCTATTTAAGCATCTTAATCCCCACCTTTTAGCCTCATTTCCAGCCTCCAAGTCATAAACCCTAATCCACGAAACCCTAGAGTATCTTGTGAGTTGTGAGCTATTCTTGAGTGTTTTGGTGTATTCTTGAAGCTAGAAGAAGGAGAAGGAGCTAGAAGGTTCAAGGAGAAGATAGTAGATCCAGGGATTTCCTTCCATCCTCATCACTTTCTGGTAATCAAGTCTCTAACTTGATCATTCATCTCTTAGATCTATTTACTTCCTTTTTATGAGGGTTTTGGTGCAAGAACCTTGGTCTTTGGGATTTGGACGTCCCAAGTGACTTATAATTCAGATCTGGGATCTAGGAGGGGTTCCATGGCATAAAGGTGCAAACTTTATGACCATGGAAGCCCCATGCAAGCTTATAAGCGTTAATATGGCCTTTTTAGCCCTAAGAGGCCATGCTTGGAAGGAAAGCTAGGAACTTTACGTGTCCAACTGATGTTCAAATCCTAGATCTAGTATAGTGTGCTTTGGTTTAGGGTATTATGGCTTGTGGACGAAGATTTATGTTCTAGAGAGTTAGGGTTTGAGCTAAACCCATTAAGAAGGACTAAGAGTTGGTAAAATTAAAAACTTTACCCTTAAAAGTGTATTCCCAGTGTGTAGATGAAGTTTGGAGCTTGGATCCGAAGGGTAGGAGCTTAATCCATTGAGATGGCTTAATCAGACAGAGGAACTCGACGAGTCCATAGAGGGACTCGACCAGTTGAGATGGTTTGTCCCATTTTTAGTTAAAAGTAGAACTCGATGAGTCGGTGAAGGGACTCAACGAGTTGATGGAAAAACTCGACGAGTTGGGTCAACCAAAAGGTTGACTTTGACCAGGGGTAAAATGGTCATTTTACCCTAAGGAGAATTATCAGGTTTTGAATAAGTGTTGTTGATAATGATAGTCGGGGAGTCATGGGAGCAGCCATTAGAGATTCCTCACTCGGGATTTCAGCAGTCAGCCTTGCAAGGCGAGTTTCCTTCAATAGGAACGGGTCTACGGCACCAAGGTCGGCCCGTATATGTGATATGATAGTAGCTGAGTGTGGGCGGGGCCCGAATCTCATAGTAGCCGAGAGTGGTCGGGACCCGAATATCGTAGTATTATTTGAGTATATTTACGTGACTGCTTAATAGGAATAGATATACTTGTTGTCTGTGTGATACTTATATGCATGTTAGACAGCGGAGTGTGGGCGGGGCCCGAAACTCCAGGACAGCGGAGTGTGGGTGGGTCCCGAATCTCCTAGACAAAGGAGTGTGCGCAGGGCCCGAATCTCCTAGACAACGGAGTGTCGGCAGGGCTTGAATCTCCTAGACAGCAGAGTGTGGGCGAGGCCCGAATCTCCATGAGAGTGGGTGGGGCCCGAATCTCCTAGTTGCATGTTATGTGTATGGTATGTGGTAGTTTGGGGAGAATCGCTAAGCTTCGTGCTTACAGTTTCAGTTTTGGTTTCAGGTACTTCCGGTAGCAAGGGGAAGGGCGCGGGATGATTGCAGTGCACACACCATTTGTTCAGTCTGGGATGTTTATACTCTTATATTTTGATATACATTGATATGATGTTTGAGATATTATGACATGTGTTTTGGATAACTATGGTTTTATTAATAAGTAAAAACGAAATTTTTGGTCTGTATTTTTGGGATGTTTCAAGTTGGTATCAAAGCCTTGGTTTGAGGGATCCGGGCACAGTCTCGGGTGTGTCTGGACTCAAACTGAGGACTTGGTATGAAAATTTTCAAAAGAAAATCATTTTTTATAAAAAGAATTTTGAAAAGAGAAAAGAACTTTGAAATGAGAAAAATGGTGTGGTGCATGCAATCAGCCGAGCTCAAGTAAGTACTCCCAAATTACCCATACAAGTTTATGTTATGATATTGTTATGAGAACTGCATGCTAGATTAGGACTAAGGATCTAGGAAGGATGCCTTATGTGCCTATTATATGTGTATCAGCTTTATGAGAATTGCATGCTAGATTAGGACTAAGGATCTAAAGGATGCCTTATGTGCCTGTTATATATGTATCTCAGCTTCATGAATCGCGTGCTAGTACAGATTAGTCAGGGATAGCCTGAGAGAGATATGCTTGATTATGTTTGCTCGATCCTCGAATGCTGCTTGCTTTGTGCTTTTAGGAGTTCTAATTATCTTTTTCTAACTAGTAAATGAATATGTTAAGTTACATATTGCGAGGACTAAATAATTTCAGAGGATTAGGTCTAGATCTATTGCACATCTCTTGTTTGAGTCCAAATGTTGTAGGTAGGATCTCTCATTCGAAGAATTATCTAGTCTTAGTGATATATAATAGTATTCACAAGCTAGTTAGGGGGAGATAGAAGGAACTTATTATGAAGCTGATAGCGGAGAGTGGGTTGGTGATTACCCTAGGGCAAGCCTAGGATAAGTTTAGCATGAGATCAGCAGTAGTAGTAGAAGGGACTTGGTGGAGTTCAGGCAGTTCTTGAGGAAAGTACAGAGAGATGTGGAAGGTAGTATGGGCCCGTACTACTGAAAGCAGAGAATCCGTACTCAAATCAAGGAAGGCTGAGATGAATCCAGGAAACTTGTAGTGTGTCAGATCCCTTGAGATATGATAAGTATACTGTAGCATCCTGTTTCGGGTTGTCAGTGGTTAGGGTTCGTGGGTTGCAACTCGGACATGAGGAAGTCTCGGGGTTGCGACGAGTTACTAGAAGCGTAAGGCATCTCGCCACCTTCCGTGGGTATGAGGTTCTTTGGAAACGGAGTCATATCGAGGAAGCATTAGAAGTTTGAAGTATTGGCAGGATAAGTCCATTAATTTGAGAAAGGTGGCAGCTGAGTATGTTGGGCGTATGTGTGTGTACGCTTAGCGTACTCATGTGCGTGGTTTTTTAGCGGAGCCACCTAGTACGATGGGCGTACCAGTGGGTACGTTGGGCGTACTAAGCACAGAGTGAAAACCCTAATTTTTGGTGTGTCCCTATATAAAGAATGAGATGGCATCATTCCTGGCCACCACCCTCATATTTCAAACCCTCCTAAACCCTAAAACTTCGTTCATGGAGTTTGTGAATGCATTTGAGAGCCTTTGAGTGTTTTAAGTGTTCTTGTGAGATTTTTGGAGTGGAGAAGGAGCATGGAAGAGAATAGAGTTGGAGTCCGGGCTTTGGATCTGAGCTTTTCTATGGATGTAGCATCATTTGAAGATATAAAGCTCAAAGATTTCCCATCCTTTTGATTTGTGCATGTTATGGTCCATTTTAGGGATTTCGGTCCCAAAGCTTTAAGCTTTATGAGTTGTTGCACTCCAGAGCCTAATGTTTGTCCATTAGAATATTTCTAGTGGAGAGGATCCATAAAAATGAGGTCTTGGACGTTGGTATCAAGTTATGCATGAGTTATGAGCTTTTTGAGATAAGAGAGTGGGTGTTTTGTGTGTTTGTGACCATATCAGCCATGCAAAGGCTTAAAGTCACTGACTTTATGGAGTACGAGCTATTAGGGAGTCCAGATCTGAGAAATGAGCTAAGGTCTTAACGGGTTAAGACCAAGAGAATGGACTAAACAAAACTGGGCGTACGCCCAACGTAATTCCAGTACGCCCCGCGTACTGGGTTGGTGTCCCCGATCAGATTCGTGCATGCTAGTGTACGTTGAGCGTACCAAGGGAGGTACGCCCCGCGTAACCTCTCTGTGAGCTTTTTGGGCTGAATTTATTATTGGGCTTTAAGGGCTGGGCCTGGATCTTTGGGTTTGTGTATTAGTGACTTTGAGCAGAGAAATATTATATTGTGCTTTGGGCCCTTGAGTTGGGCTTGCCATTTAGATTGAGAATTGGGCCTTGGGAGAGCCCATTTATTATTGGGCCATGGTGGGCCCAATGGGTTTTAGGTCATTGATGGGCTGGTTAGTGGACTACCTTTAGACCTAATGAGTGAGAGTTTGGACTTAGTTCCTAATTGGGATATTAGTGGGTTTGGTGCAGAGTTAGTGGTCGGTGCGTAGCAGCAGCGTTTATAGGGGTTGTTCATCATCCGAGGTGAGTCTTTTCACTATACTTTACCATGAGTGGTATTTGTGTGTGACTGAGATGTATTATGTGCTTATCTGTGTATTGTGATATCCTGCATCATTTCTTTGTGATTTATGCTGTGTATTACTCAGAGCTTACAGAGTTAGGACCGGAGGGTCCATATAGTTAGGACCGGAGGGTCCACAGAGTTAGGACCGGAGGGTCCATCAGAGTTGTGGGACTGGAGGGTCCCACTGAGACACATTGATCAGAGGGTCTTGCAGAGTTATAGCCTCGAGTGGCTAATATGTTGTATGTGGTATTTTGGGGAACTCACTAAGCTTCGTGCTTACCGTGGTATGTGATATGTGTTTCAGGTTCTTCTCAAGATCGCGGGAGGGAGCCGGTTCGATTGTACACACCAGAGAAAGAGTTATGTTTTGAGGATCCGGGGGTATTAATTAAACAATTATGGAGTTGCGTTGTAAATTAAATAAATGAGATTTTTGTGAAACGAGTTATGAGAATTATGTGATTTTTAAAATGAAAAATTTGTTTGAAAAATTTA